GGTGTCAGGCCTCAAACACGGGAAGGATGAAAACTCTTTCTTCGACCCTCAATCTCTTTACTCTTTTTCCTGCAGAAGCTCTTTATTAAATTATTTTCAGCGCTTTCTTCTTCCGTTATGGTTTTGGCATCATCCTTCATTATCTATTTGTCTAAATTAGGCGTCGTCGACATCTTTTTTCCTTCCACATGTCCTTCCATTATCGTATCCGAATATACAACCGTTTCCTTTTTGTTCCCACAGAATCCGCTCCTCTCTTTTTCTTCTTAAAACTCCAATTATCACACCATAAAACTTTAATCAATTTCACACAGCGCCCTCGCACAAAAGATCAAAATTACCAGAAGACAATCCCCACTGCAGCAACACGCGACCGTAGCCCACCTGGTAGTAATTAGAAGCGCGGCACCCCCGGTTTCTAGATAGCTGGCGATAGCACCGGCGGCGCGCGGCGTTTTTCTTTCGCACACGCCGATCTGCCACCCCGGCCCCCACCCCCTTTCCTTCTCTCGCGGGTGAAACGCGCACCCATTGCCAAAAGCGCAGCGCAGCGCGGCGCGGCGCGCACTTTCCCTCGCTAATCAGCTCAGCTTAGCTGAGCACTCCGCATCTCGCACGCGCCGCTACGCACGGCCTTCGCTCTCGAATTACAAGAAAATAATTTTAAAAATGAATACGTACAACTAAAATAATAATAATAATAATAAATAAATGGAAAAAAGAGAAATGGAAAGGAAAAAGAAACGGAAAAAAAGAAATAAGAGAAAAAAAGTAATAAAAAGAGAAAAGAAATTGAAGAGAAAATAAAAATCAAACGAAAACAAAAGTAGAACGAAAACAAAACAAAATAGGCAATAAAAAATGAAAAATAAAATGAAAATTAAAAGTTGTTCAAATTTGGACAGAATTACTATTGATTTTCGTGAGTTGTTTCTTTGAAGCAAGAATGCTCTTCGGATAGATTTGCATCTTCTTCAGGGGTGCAATATCAGGGTCAACGTGTGTTAACGTAAGAACTTTGTATCACCGTCCTGAGAAATGGGAAATAAATAGCCACTGGCACTTGGTTAAGAACGTCTCATTCACGACCAAATATAAAGAATAACTTTTCCCCAAATGACTAAATAAGGCAAGGATTAGAAGTAAAAAAAATGAATAACAATATTTAAAAAATTAGTAAATAATTTTCAGGAAACTGACATTTTTTCAGGAAACCAACATGCAGGACATAACTTTTTAAAGGGCCTATTCGTGATTTTGAAGTAATCAGGAGTTTGCAATGTGAACAATTTTTGTTGTTTAGGCTGTTTCAGTACATGGAATTGAATTTTTTTAAGTTAAAATTTTGTTTACAATGCTTGCCATCTTTAGGTAGCATGCATGTACACACCTACTCCAACATGTATCGTAATCAGATGTTTGTTTTCAGTTTCCCAGTTAGTATGAATTCATTTTCGATGTTTTTCAATTAGAGTGACAATGGTTTGAAATTCTTGTTATCTTTGAGCAAAAATGAGTGTTTTTTCATAAAAAACAACTTAAATATTATTGTTATATTATCGATTCTTAATTCTAAAACTTGTTTGGGTAGAAGCACGCTTCTGATATTTTATTCTTCTTTGCTGCGGTGCAGATTGAGCTAGGGTAGAAAATGGCCGATGTAATAATCGTTGCGTACAAATTTACAATAATCATCATCACATCGATGATCATCGTTTCAACAACCTAATCACAATTAAAGAACACAAATTTCAAACAGCTCATTTTCCGAACACTTAATTACTCTATCCTCTCACCACTACGGAATGTGAAGAAAGCGAGAACTGATACGAAGAGAGATCAAAGGTGAGCATGCCAGACACAAAGCCCGCGGAGTCTTCCGAGCCACACAATCGCGGCAAACAACTTAACGAGGCGCCTTTCGGGCTTCCTACGCCTAAATTCCGCGTCCCGCGTCACAACACACACGACAAATGATGCAACTCCGCAGCGGGCGATAAAGGGACCTGGAGACAAAGAAGCGGCGGCCGGCGTTGTGGTCGGCGTCAACGGCGGTGGCCCCGCCCTCTTTTGTGTCCGCTCTGAAAGTTCGCGCTTGAAACCGATTGTTATTCGCGCAGATCATCTAGATAATTTCCCGTGCGATTCCATTCGGGTAAGAAATAAGGGTTTCGCACCGCGTGCAAGTATCACACGTTTTAAATACAATGTTTTGCGTCGGTGCTACTTTCTCCTCGTTCTGAGAAGTCTTAGTTGCGGGGATTTGCGTTTGGTAAGAACTTTTTTCCGGAGGTTGAGCTGTAAACATTACGACTGTTTGTTTGAAACGGGAAGAGAAAATTGTCTGCGACTTGGGTTCCTGTTTTTGTGGCGGTAATTCTCGCTTTAGAGCAGAATGCGGAGGAGGGGTGTGGAGGCGCAAAATGTCCGTAAATGGGAGTTCGCATAAAGAAACGGCGCTGTCGGTTTTACTATAGTATGGGAATTCTAAGAGAAAATAAACTTTATGCACTCTGCAATGAACGCCTATTAATATGCGACGACGGCTTACAGCTGAAATAATCCTCTCGTTGACTGGTAGAAACAAGAAAATATTCTATAATAATTTCCAAATTAAAGGGAGAAAGTGAAATACTGTACGATTTTGAGCATTTGCAAAATTATTTCCAAATACGAATGACATGTATAAATGGCAGTATCACATCTTCGTGAGAGAAAGATTGCATGACGAAAGGATTAAGAGTTCCTTTATTTGACTTTTTCCGTGAATGTTTTGGACATGAACCATTCAGGACAATATGTCCTCTGTCGTGGACGCGTAATCAAGAAACAGTAAAGAATGTATGAGGATGAGACAACAAAATTTAAACAGTATTATGAAGAAAATTTGCTAACTATTTAATAGAAATGTTTTATATAGAAACTAAACTGCAGATTAGCTATTGAATATTATTTCATTATTGTAATTTTTGTCTAGTGATTTTTGTTTATCTGAGAGGGAGTACTACGAAATTCACAAGTGGTCGCATTAAAATGACTTATTTTATTCCTTTCTTCAGAAATACAGGTGCACGTTATTTTAGGGAAGAAAGAAAAATAGGAATTCATCTAAAACGTACGACAAATTTTAAATTTAACTAACAAAATATCTACGCTAACTTTTTTTGTAATTGCATGCTTTTGACGGGTTTGGGGCAATGACAAGATGAGACGTCAACTAAACTCGAGATTAGCGACGATTAGCCAGAGGCTTCCTGTGGCTGGTGTGGCTCATCTACTGCCCCAGTCTCTTCAATTGATCTATTGGTGGGAAATATTCAACTCGATTAGTAAGCAATTCGCCAAACACATTTACAATGTATGCAAAATGGGAGAAATCGCCCACTAAAAAGCAAATGATGTGGAAAGCGGGAGGCACTTGAGGTGAGGTGTGCATACTGAGGCCTGGCGGGAGGTCGGGAGGCGAGTGTGATGAATGAATGCGTCCAGATCTGGAGCAGGCCAGGGCATCTCGTGTGGCGGGCGTAAGACGTTGACGAGAGGCGACAGGATGAAGTGATGCGCGATGAAACCGATGTGGTTGAGAGCAAAGGATTAGAGGACAAACTACGGTTGAAATGAAGGATAATTATATTATTGAGAGTTTTTTCCCAAAGTTTGACGTACTTCCAAATATCTTAAGAAGTGAAAGAATTCACTTGTGATACAGCGAATTCCTTTAAGTACTCGATGATTTCGCTACTTGTAAAAGAGTCCTTGAAAATATTTAATTAAAATCATGTTTTGTCAATAAATGGCAATCTTTCGCGCTTAACACCGTTGAGACGGTCTTTAATTCACACAAAAATGGAACATTATTTTCAACGTAGATAGCTGTTGTAATTCTCGGTTATTATTGGAATAATGGTTATCATGAGTAGGCGGATTTTAATGAAATGTCATTTTATTTCCTTTTCACTTTAAAACAATGCCATTTAGTATAGAAATTTATTTTATGTAAAGACAAAAAAAAGACCCATTTTTATGTGTGAGTTTTGCATTTTCGTCGATTTTTACTCATAAGTTATTTTTTACCTTTTTAGGCCATTTTAATGCATTTTTCGCGGATTTAATCAACTTTAATATAATTTTAATGGTACTTGCTTCAAACAATATTTACTAGGTATAACAAATGTTCAGCACAGAATTTCTGAGAAGCATATTAGATTTCTTCGCTCATATATTGTGATGTCAGCCGCTGTGAGTACTATGTAATCAAAGGTTATTGTAACGTTTATCGGCGCCATCGTCTGTTCGGTCGATTTCGCGATAAATAAAAGCAAAGTTTTTTAAATAACAGTCCAAACCAAACGTTTGCAAGCTTAGTTCACTTGAGCAATAGGAAGAAACCTCGGTTACATCAGTAACATACCCAACAACGTTAGTTGTTCTTCTGAAGTGGTTTCGATCAAATTTTTTGTCATTTTTCTTTGTTTTTAGGGAATTTTTAAAGCATTTTAAAAGCATTTTATTGATCATTTTTGACGATGTTAAAGGTCATCAAAATCCGCCCCCTAGTTATCATCATTCAATTGCTTCGCTCGCTTAATCACTCCAGTTCACGTTCAAGAAAACTGATAGGTTGGTTTCAATCGATCAAGTTATTCATGTGCCAAATGTCCCATTTGGATCTGCGTAGACCACAGGAAAATACAGAATACCCTTCAACTTCGCATCATGTTCGAACCAAGGTTTGTTTCAAGTCAACAGTTCATGTTCAACCGATTCTGTTCCTCACACCCAGTTACACATGGGAAGCTACACCCAGGAAAGGAGGCAGGACGAAGCTGCATGGACTAGCCCTGTCGGGTCTAGTCCATAGCCTGAATGAACAGGCCTGACCAGCCGAGAGGGCGCGGAGTGGCAGAACGCGAGCAGCACTCGCCGAGGAGAACCGGGCCGGGATGCGGGCGGGTGGGCGAGCGGGCGAAGCCGGCCGGCGGCGCGTGGCGGTCACTCACCCGCGGCCCACCAGCAGGCGCAGGGCGTCCAGGTTGCCCTCGAAGGCCGCCCACAGCGTGGGCGTCATGCCGTCCTCGTCGCGCGCGTTGCATTGCCGCTCCGTCGCCTCCTTCAGGATGTCCAGGTTCCCGTCCCGCGCAGCCCTGCAACGCGCAACGCAGCTCAATTAAGTGACGGAAAAACAAATAAGATACAAATATATAAAAAACAAAATTAAAAAATATACAAAAATAAACAAAAATAAAATAAACAAAAAAGAGGCAAAATAAAAATTTGCAAAAAATAAACTTGAAATAAAAAGTATACAAAAACAAAAATTTAAATCTATACTTCCAAAGAATCTAAAAGAGATGAAGTTAAAAGGAAGTGAGAGTTAATTAAGCTCAGTTTGTCAAGGAAAGCGCAAATCAAAGAATGTCACCTGCTGAATTGAAAACTCTCGGATATCTCTGGCCGCACACGAAGAAATATAGAACAAAAATACAGGGGAAGTACTCTTTGGCTGAAGGGACTGCAAGTTGGCGTGCTTTTAACTTTGTTGATGAATGGTGATGATGATGATGATGATGATGATGATGATGGTAACGGTGAGGATGTGGTGGTGATGATTCACACGATTCCTCAGCGTAAGCTAGGGGAAAAGCTGTATGTCGTTCCTTTTGTTCCCACAGTGTTGTTACTAGATGGATAGTGTGGTGTAGTGAAGCGACATCCATAACAAAACATCCATGTTAGCAAACGTCAATGTTCCGAATTAAAACATCAATATTAAGATACATCAACTAAAAACTATCGATGTTTTTAGACTAGATTAGTAACCTCTATCATTAAATTCGTGTGCATAAAAATTTAATTTGACAGTGTTCGTGTTTATCAATTCGCCCAATAAGGGTACAAGAAGAAGCGGCAGATCCTAGCCCTCGGCGTATTTGTTGGCCTTATCTCAATGAGCAAAATGCATATGAAAAAAGAGGCATGGGGTCATCTCGGGCGGGAGAGTTTGGTCGACGAAGGTACTGTAAACAGCGTTCCTTTGGTTCCAACACGTGAATAAGTGTTACTATCAGTTATTATTTCATATTTTATCTTTTGCATTATTGTGATCATGGGAGTTTTCAAAAACAAGACATCGGAAAAGAAGAAAAACATCGATCGCAAAACATCGATGTTAAAAACACATCGACATCGATGTCGCATCCCTATTGTGGTGATCATACGAGATGAATAATGAAGGGATATGAATTATTATGGATGACTAGTGATTCAATTGTGATTTCTTGTGGCATAAAAACGCACTGTGCCTAAACCACGTGGTGAAAACGCCCTTGCCTTGTACAGGTCTCTAACCGGTAGTCTTCGGTTCCGCGTAGTTCGTCGTAGCTCTAAGACTCTATACCACCACGTCAACTTTATTATCTCATTGCGTTGTATTTATTTATATCAACAGCTGTACAAAAAATTATATATTACTCTGTTGAGGGTTACAACGTCGTTTGCATATTAAACGTTGCTTCAATTATGGTGCTTTGATAATATGATAATTTTACTATTAAAATACTTAATATTATAGTTTTAGCGAATATGAAACGATGAACTATTATAATACAACTTATTTTCTCAAAAGATGCTGAGAAATAAGCCATAAAGTAGTTCCCAAAACTGAAAGGCATGGACGTATTAATGAAAATGTTTGCTAAATCTAATTAATATAGCATTTTAAGAATTCACAATAAATGCAATGCCTATTGATAAGGAGAAGGAATAATTGATAATTAAGATATAAAATTCTGGTAAATGAAAAAAACATTTTGTTTGATATATTTTGCAGAAAAGAGAGAAAAATGTTATTCCAGATGAAATAATCTTCTTTGATGACGTGTACTCATATAACAGTTTTTAATCTCGTGTATCTCACTAGAGATTTCATTGTGATCAGTTTTTTTCTTCGAAAGTAGTAATTTCTGTAAGAATATAAATATCTAAAAGTTATTTAATCGACACAATTTATATCGGCACAAAAATAATTTAGTAATATACGATGTATTTTAGGATTAAAATACGAGACAAAATTGATGTAACGTTTTCAAATATTATTACAAATTCTTGTGTTTTTACCGCTCAGGCATGACTGAGACCTAAAATAGTAGAGACCACACGGTGAAGATATGCCACAATTCATTCATATATTTGGGTACAAAATGTTATGGACCTGAGTATAGTTAATTTTAATTGTTTTAAGATGCGAGTCCTTGTAATTCTGAACGCGCATTCATGTTTTCTCGAAATGTAAAATGCAGGAAATGAGACGCCATAACGTAAGTGATGATTGTTAAGTGAGGAATACATATACCGTGCACTATTTACAAGGAAATATGAGCTGGTGTAACCTGTTCTTTGCATTTTTCCTCTTTCAGTAATCACTAAATCAAGGTAATCTACTTGGGCACCTGTTACGAAGCAACAATTCGTTCACGTGCGGACGAACACGACTCGTTAAAATTCGTTCACTCTTGCAACGAAAGTTTGTACAAACACTGAGTAGTAACAATCTCTTTTCGCGTTCAGAAATGCCGAGCAGATAATTTCTGAGATCTCGGAGTCAAAATCTTGTCGTCAGTGCAGTGGTGTTCCCACTGAAATGATTACGTAACCCAGATCGCTATCGAGGTTAATAACTTACTTCATAAAGAATGAAAAAGTCGATAGAACGTAATATCATGTTTTTGGTAATAAAGTAATAGATTAAGCATATTGTTACTTCCGTATAGCAGCATGATCCATCAATCATGTTATCACTTGTTATCTCATCAATATGCAGAGCCGTATCTTAAATAAACTTACGAAATTGCTATGTGGTTGCAACCGCCAAAGTTTCCGGAACCTTTGCAGAAAAATGTCACGAGAAAGGTCTGATAATATCATGTCCCTTTTAATGTTGCAATTTATTACGAATCACGAAGATTAAACAAAATGTGTGAAATAATAGGTCTAGCTGGACCTGTGTGAACATTCCCCGCTTAATAAATCATTGTTTTAAAAGTGAAAATAGTTTCATACTGACTCCTAACATCTGGTTAAAACCTGAACATACTTTGAAGCATTGTACCACCATGACGGGCCTTTTAGCATGACTATTTAATTTTACTTACATTTCTAGTTTCTGCTCGTTTCTAATCATCTTGGTATTGAGTAGGGAGTCACCAGAAGAGCTAAATCTTCACTAGAAATGATCCCCGTACGTTTTTCTTCATACCCCTTCGTATACGATATACCCCTCAGATGTTTTTCACAGGTTCTCCTCGCATATTCACCGCATGATCTCTTGCATGTTCACAACATGTTTCCTCGCATGATCACCTTATGTTCTCTCTTTTGTTAAACCTGTTTACCATCGCATATTTACTACATGATTCCGGCATTTACTCGATGTATCGATGTACTCATGTATCTCCGAACGTTCTCCATAAGATTACCGATATATTTCTTCACATCTTCATCAGGATTCCCGCTCGTTTCTCCAAATGTCCACTGCATGTGATCGTAGACTTCCGCGGTCAGTGTCATGTGAAGGCTCTGGGTTGTACGGGAGACGTCGCGCTGAGGGCATTGATGCCGACATTTCGACCGTCATATCCTCCAGCACTCCTGCACTCCAGGACTCCAGCCCTGAAGATGACCACGTTGGGATGGCCAAAACTTCGTTATCAATGCCCTCGACGCGGCGTCTCCCGGGCAGCCGGGAGCCTTCACATGTTCACTGCATGTTCTCGCACTTCTTACTCAGGAAATAAAACGGGAATCGCAAGAAAATAATTTGAGTTGCTTTTTATTACGAAACCCTTTTGTAACTGTTACAAAGACATATATCTGACGAATGGAACGAAAGTTCTGAATAGCCAGAAGAGCGACCCCCCCCCAAAAAAAAACAATAGAAGAGGATCACAATGATATTTCGCAAAAAAATTTAACGTTTAATAACGTAAAATAAACGTTTTAAATATTTGTTTTAAAAGTTTTTTTTTTTCAGTAACTTCACATTGTAATCAAACTTTCAACTTTTATGACAATCAGTGCTACTAAGTGTCGGCACCATCAAAAAATGTAATAGTGTCGAAAATGTCTCAGTTTCTAGATTACGCTAAAGAAAACATATCTTGTGTCC